GGACAATGCCTGGACTCCCGTGTTGGCACTGGAAGGAGGCATTACAACACAGCCAGCTTAATACCCAGAGCTGGGCCTCATCGCTGCTAGCGGCCCCAGGCCAAGTCCTCCAGGGATGAAAACCCCGGGTTCAACATCTGAGGCACCAGATCGTGGTCAGCTGTGTGGGAGGCAGTCAGGGGAAAACGAAACAGGCAGGTGTTTGCAAGCCCCGGGAAGGAGTGATGCAACCCAGTCAGCCCACCCACAGAAACAGCAGGCCAGGGAAGCCGGAAGTGGGCCAGCTCCGCCCAGCTGCAAGAGGCCCGCTGTGTGCTGGGCTGCACAGGCAGAACTGTGCGCCCGGATGCTGTAAGAAGGCCCGCTCAGAAGAGGCAGGAAGGGACTGCCAAGGTAGGCTGGGGCTAGACCTGCAGAACTCCTCACGTTTGTAAGTCTGACAGGTGCCCTTGCACAGTAGGGTCTTAAACAGATTGAAATGTACGGGAGGGGCACAGGCACATCTTTTTTAGAAAGAGCCCTTGGGTAAATCAAGACAAGTGACAGGACTCGAGAAGTGGCCCAGGCAGGAGTTTAAGGCAGTACCGAAAAGGCCGATGTCAACGGGCGTTTCGGAAGGAACATGCAGTACAGATGAGGAGGGAAAGGACCCCGCAGCAGGCTCGGAGGCAAACCTAAGATGGAAAAGTTTCGATTCCAATTCTTGTGATGATGGCGGGGGGTGGGGTGGGGGGAGGAAAAGTCACTCCAACCTTCCTGAACAGTTCTAGATCACTTCTGTACTTCTAAAGCACGAAGAAACCATGGTAGCAGTTGGATATAGGATAGCAGAAGTTATTTCGGTTCTTATTGAAAATGGGTTTTGGGCCAAGGTCAAGCTCCAGAGAATCTAGTCTTTAATGCCGAATCAAACAAGATGCCAGCGAAGACAGAGTCCAGCTGATGTAGGCATTAGCCGAGAGGCTGGGGTCAATAACGTGGCTCAGTTTAAATCAGTCAGGCACCCTGGAGAAGAGCCCAGATATGAAGGGAATTATGGCCCGAAAGGTGAGCACACACCTCTTCCCCCAGAGAAAGCACCATCTCCCAGAGAAGTATCTAAGGCTGAGAATGTTAATAACTGACCCCTCCCCCACCCCGCCACGAAACAGGTTTTCTGAAACCTAAAACAGGTTCCACTGTTGAGGAGACACAAAGAAATGACCATAACAGACAAGGTTTTGGGGTTTTTTAAATATATCTTTATTTCTCAAACTCAAAGCTTTATTTCATCAACTTCTAATACAGTTTGCATTGACAAGTGATTTCACCTTCATCACATAAGAAGGTCAGTGACCATCACACCAAAGAGGAAACCTCACATATCTTAGGCATCACTAAGAAATTAGTATTTCGAAGGCTATGCAAACCCAGAATAACAAAAAGCTTCCAATTCAGTCTAATAAGTATCTTACTTTTCATCTATATTAATTTGGAAATTACTGGATAAAAACTCTTAATTTTCCAAAAGCAGCTATTTTTTTTTTATCCTTTGGGGGCTGGGGGGAGACCAGATGGCTAGAGTTTTAAAACGCCCATATATCCATATTATTTAATGACTTCCTCTTTAGTGAATCGTCTTCTCACCTTCCTATACAAACACACGTGACAATTTGTACCAACTCTCACCAGCCCAGGCAAACCTCCAAGCGTTTTCTTTAGTTTACACTTAAACTATTTTTGAAAAAGTGATAGGTAAACAAGATTTAGAACTCACCAAAAAACAAAACAAAACAAAAACACATTTTCTTTCCTGATGCTCACCTTGGGCAGTCTCCATAAGCAATCCTGAAAAGTCGCCAGGTCTTTTAACACACGTCCTCCCTACGTACCTCCCTTGGTCCTCTGAATGTAACTGGCTGAACTGGAATAGGTTCCAAAATCAGCTGTGACATTCTGGTCTCTGCCAGATTAAGGATCTGGATCTAACCCTGGCAAATGGGAGTTCTTCACCTTACAGAATCCAACCGAAGGGCTCTCCTTCGTAGACAGCCCCAGTCAGACACCCAGGAAATCATGGCCCTGGGGAGCTACAGGGTCTCTTCCCACAGATGAATAACTATCAATACCTTTGAGCTCTGAATGTAGGTGCATCCCAAAACAAGGCTCCAGTACCAGAAAGTTCACTAGAAAGGAGGTATTCCTAAAGTGAAGAAGTTGCTCTTGAGTGGCACCATTTCTCAAAGTTAACAAAGCAGTGCTAGTTAAAATCCTAACCCACCACGAAGGTAAGGAGCTAATGCTTGCAGGGAGGCAGAAGGACGAGCTGATTCAGGGCATTAGAGATTTGATTATTAATAGGTCACCACAAAACATGGGTTTACACACAGCTCGAAGTGACTCAAATCCCCAGGTGTGTTAAGGTGTGTCTGCTTTTCAACCAAACGATGAAATAGTGGAGACCATGAAATATATGTGCCTGGCTAACTGGCAAATTAATTGACCAATATAATAAGTGGAGCGCCTTTTGGAGTACCCTTTTTGAGGTACTCAGACTGGCAGTGGGTGGGTGAGGGGGCGGAGAACTGCCCACCAAACCACATGTTAGCACACAGCAGGGCCCCAGCATCTTTCCTACCCATTTCGCCCCGGCTGCCAGGTGCTCCCAGGTGTGGGCCGCACCCCAGCCCACATGCACTTAGCAGGAACCCTGATTGGAAGGTGTCCATGATAGAGACCTTAGTTTCAGAGTTGAAGTTGAGTGAGGAATCACGTCTTACTGCCAAAGTAAAATTTAAGGGTGAGACTGAAGCTCAAGGCCAGGAATTCAGGCTGTGCCTTTCTGCCAACACAAGGGGAAATGGTACTGTTTTAATCTCACTGCTGCTCAAATGGATTCCAAGAAGCAGGCCAGGAAAACAAGCTGCATACTTGCAGAGAGCATCAGAGAACTTCAGTCCTGAAGCAAGTGAGACTGCTTAGATTTATATTAGAATTTGTACTTGAACTTTAGTGCCCTTGACCACTGCCAAGTTTCATGTTACTCAACACACACAAAAAAAGGAACCACAGGTCTCGGTACCATTTCAGGGGACCTGGTGCTTGTGTGAGCAGCATGAAAGGCAGGTTTCAACTGGAATTTCCAAACACCTGAAATTCAAGGTTACCTGATCTATTCTGAGGCCGGCAAAGGCCTTGTAGAGCAGGTAGAGACACACTGGACCAGAGTGATGTTTTAAAAGCTCAGCTTTGGTCAGTGCAGCCTTTTACCCCGATGGAGGTTCTAGAACACGTGTCTACTTTCAAACTCCAAAATGGCGGGGCTGACTGAGAACTTCAAGTGAACAGATTGCACCAAGATGGTCATTGTGCAATGGTGGTAAAGAACTAAGGGGGTGCGGGGGCGGGCAGAGGGGAGACTGGGAATTTCTAACAACTTCTGGGCTTCCCTTCATCCTCAGAAGAGGACTAGTACCAGTTAGCAAAAAAAAAATATATATATATATAAGCAGAAAGAACTCCAAGGGCAAAGTGGAAATTTAATTACTTGATGTGGTTCTGATTCTATCTTCATCTGGAGCCTCATCACCCTGATCCTCAAGCCTTCTAGTAGGGGCAATACTGACTGACTTCTGTTAGCAAGTGCTTATGTTGGTGGCTTCATCACATCTCAAAGTTTTGGTTAATCAGATCTGTCATTTTTGCGCAAAGATGTTGCCATTAGACCACAATGGCAGCCTTTTAATGTCGTGGATGAGCACGTAGTTTTTAAAGTTGGGATTCACTCTTCATTCCCCCCCTTTTAACCCTGAAGCATGCTGGCCCCCCCGTCAATATAAAGGCCTAGACTCAAAGCTAGTGCGTTCAAATGTAACTATGGTTCACAGGCAAAGCAGAGCTGGTTACTTATACACAGAAGTGGCTTCTATTCACCTAGTGTAACACAACATGGATACCAGCTGAGCCCAGGGGTTCAGTCACACCCAATCTGCTTTTAAGAGGACCAAGACATCACATTCCCCCAAAAAACCCTGAAAATACCATCTTCAGAAAAAGGAAAACCATGCATTTTCTGCTAAGCCTTTCTGCATTAAGGTATCTTCATCGTTTAAAGCAAGGAGAAAGGAAAGCAATCACTCAGGGCTTGGGATTTTTTATGGCCACAGGAGAAAGAAAAAACCAGGAGCGTGGATTTGATGAAATCACTTTACAGATCAAGCTGGTTGGCGATACTGAGTTCCTTTGCTCTCAATACCCTAGAGTGATGCTTTCTAAGAGATCCTAAATCGACTGGGAAAGCAGTAGCCTAGAACTCTCCCATTTACCGAGCTTGCTTTAGACTGGAGATTAATACTGTTTTTCTTCTAAAGTGCACAATAGAAACAAGTATGGTCAATCTACCAGAATAAGGAAGGCCATTCTCCATTTACTCCATTCTTTCCTGAATCCACCAGAATTAATCATTGCAAGGAGCCCTGGCAGCTCCTGTGTGGCACACCAAGCCCGAATGAGTGCTAAGCCTCTACCTCACACACAGCACAGGGACAGAGGGATCGATTCTAGAGCAATCGTAAGCCAGGGGACTCTGCCCACAGCAGCAGGTCATTCCACAGGTCATTCCTTTCTACTGAAAATCCCAAATTCATGTGCTGCCCAAAAAAAGCCTGGAGAAGGAAATCACTATTTTTTGAAGAAAGAACAAAAACAAACAAAAAATAATCACCGAAGGTATTCCAGAAAAACAGCTTGTTATCCTTGGAATGTGACCAAAATGGGTTTCCAATTAAAACATGGGAAGACCCTCTCACGTCAGTTACTATAAAGGCTCTAGACTCAGCACAATCCTTAGTCTTAGGAAGAGCAAAACTAAAGTGATGAGCTGCTGAGGGAGGGAAAAAAACAAAGTGTCATTCAATAAGAATTCCTTAAAGAAAAAAAAAAAACTGAACATTCACGTTTCCTATTTACAATCACCCGCTCCCCGACCCCGCCACCGCCACCACAATTCTGCTTTAACATTATGTTCCACATTTTATTTTGTTTTCAAGTTACATTTCAAGCAAAGTTCTTTTTTTTTTTTTTTTCCTCAGCAATATCTCACAATTCCTCGTGAGAGCACAGCATCTAAACCATAAACCACTGTCAACCAGATCTCAATTCTCCAGCTACCAGCTTTGGTTTATTCATGAAAGAAATCCTCAGCTCTGCTAACAGGGAATAAACGTAAGCAATTCAGTCCCTTGAACAAAAATGAAGTCACGAGACCACTCTCATGTCCACCATTTTCCGCCTGGCTAAAATTGGTACAAGAAAATAGACTATAACCACAACTTTCATAGAACAGCTGAGAATCCCTTGTGAAGGCCAACAGAGCCTATGCTAGGCTTGGGTGAGAAGAGATACTGCCCAAGCATTCTCCCAGATTCCATTAGCACACAGAGCTCCAGTCTCCCCGTGCGGCTGTTTGGAACATGGCATGTTAGTGTCTGTCTTGGAAAGATGTGGATAGGCCGTACTTCCTATAGCATTTTCCAAAGTGGCACTGGAATAATGGGTCCCTTTAGGGTTGGCTCATGATACACTGTAGACCCATTCCAATGGGTGCACAAAGAAAAAAGAGCAGAATCAGAGCTGAGTTCCCCTTTAAAAGCCAAACACCTACATCTAGAAGGAGGCTCCCCTACCTGAGAGCCCTTGCCCTATTGGGGTTCCCACTGTGGAAGCCCTCAGGTCTCAAGGTTAGTTACAGGGCAGCCAGGTAGGGTACGGCTGGCTGTAGGTGACAGGAGGATGGGCAACATAGTAGTTGTTGAAGTTGCCATCACTGACGTAAGGAGCTGGCTGGTAGTAACAGGTGACGTTGGTGGCGTTGGGGATGATGTTCTGCTCTGCCAGCACGCGCAAGGCCAGGAGGGAGATGAGGTTCAGGGTCTGCCTCCGCTCGTGCCCCATGAGGCACACGGTGCTCTCGTTCACTACCCTGCGAAGGATCATGAGGTAGTCGTACTTGCTCCTCTCTTCTTCGGCAAAGTGGTTTTGAAGGTAGGTCTCCAGCTTCCTTTGCTGTTCGAGGATGTCCGGGAAGTCGATGAAAAACCTGGAGCACATGTAACGCTCCAGAGTTTTGATTTCTTCCTGGTCTGTGGGCCGGAAGTCCCGCACAAGAAGGTTGCTGTACTTGAGCAATCCCCCGCCCCTGATCTCTTCGGGGTTCTTGGTGGCGATCAGTCTGTTCTGCAGGTGGTCGAAGGCTTCCTCGAAGTCCCCGTACACGCTCTCCCCGATCACCGTGGGGTGGACGTGCTCAGAGATGGGGCTGCTGGAGCAGTCGTAGAAGAAGAGCAGAGAGTCCAGGATGATCTGAAAAGAGTCCACGCTAAACTCAAACTGGCGCCGGATGGAGTCGACGAATTTCAGCTCCACGTTCCTCCCGTTCTTGTTGGAGAGGGAAATCAGGCTCCAGCGGTCAGTGTCCGTGCAGACCTTCACCAGCTTCTGGACGTACGCCTCCTTCAGGGTGACCGGGCTGATCTTGAGCTTGTTCACACCCTCTGGCAGGAAGTTCAGAAGGGAGCACAGCACCACATCCCTGACCAGCTGAAATTCTGCCTCCGTGGGAAGAGCCACGTGAAAGATCAGGTCCAGGTCTTTGCAACCCAGGCCGTTGTCTTTGACCAAGACGTGGCCCGCTGCGGAGCCATTCAGCCGGACATCCTGCACTTTGATGCCTGCCTCCTCCAGCCGGCCCCGCACAGTCTGGACGATGTCCTTCAGAGTTATCTCCAAGGTTGGGAAGTTGCCTCGTCCGTGGATAGGTACAACCTCGGTCAGGACCTCATGCAGCCGGCTAACCTGATCCCAGTTGAGCACGCTGAAGGACACGCAGTCCCTGGTATTGCTGCTCTCCTCTGCCATCTTGGGGAGTGTTCTTGCGGGGAACTGAAAGTGAGGGTGCAAGAAACAGAGTTAGGATTTGCTTCTACATGGCCAGGCAGCCCAAGGGACTCACAGCAGATGCTCAACAATCTCTGAATGTTTTCCCACACAACAGCGACAACGGGTGCCTACTGCTGGGTGCTGCTATGAGGGTTACACGGATGTGTGTGTGGGGGGGGTATGTGCACGGAGTAAGGACAACATATACAGAAACCTACCCTCTGCTTCGTAATTTTGTTTTATGTGGGGCTGGTTTCTTTGTTTCACTTGTTTTGTCTGCAAGAAGGTGGTCTGTGTGAAGGGAAGTAGACAAACTTCTTAAACAAAGTCACCTAAACACGTTCCTCAATCGAAGGCCTACAGGTTGGGCCAATTTTCCTTGTTCTTCATAGAATTACCTCTCCTGCCTTTGCATGCCTACCTCCATCTTGAACTGGCTGCTACCTAAGCTACCACCCCCACCCCCACCCCAGGAAAAGACTTCCTTCACTCCATGAGGAGATGAAGATTCAACTCTGGGCTGCAACCACACCGAGGACAGGAAGTCAGATCCGTCCTGTTAGAACCAGGTACACGGATATCTTGTTAGCAAGAACCCCACGTCCTTTTCACTCACGGGAGGGGTCTGCCCTGTAACCAGCACCTCCATTATCCAGAGTGGGACGCCAGGGAACCGTCTGGATGACCAGATTCCTGGCAACAAAGGTTCAGGTCAGCCCTACGGTGGATCAGCTCTGTCAGCAAGAAGGGCCCTCCGCAGCATGTGGGAAACTTCCTCGGGGCAGTGTGATCTTTTCACTGTATTTTGAAATCGAGTACCTCCAGGCTACCTGAGAATCAAGTGAGCTCTCAGTATGAGGAGCAAAACATTCCATCTCATGCTTCACTTGCTAGAACCGTAGTTACACCAAAGTAATCTTCAACCAAGTGATATGTTTCAGAAAATAAAATACAACAGATCCCTGGAAATCCTAATGTGTAAAAACAAATACTGCTGTATTAGAAAGTCAAGGTGCTTGTGGATCCACGTGGGTCAAACATTAGCTAGACAGACGTAAGAGCAGAAACAAAATGTCAAGGCGCTATCCTCACCTTTCAGGGCGAGCACAGAGTTTCCCTGGCCCCTTCACCTTCCTGACTTGCTAGGCACACACAAAACCCATCCCAACTTCTGCAGTTTCACTGTTTGGAAACCACTGCTTTTGAACGCACATCTGCCATCACTGTCCTGAGATTCCAGCTTGGGTTTTAGGCCTTGCACTGGTGCCAGGGATCCTCGCCTGACATAATCGCTCAGAGGGATGGTGATGGTTGTCACTCAGTGTTGGGAGGCACCACTGGACACCCCGAGACAAGCTTTCCAGGAGCCGGCCATCAAGAAGGTGGGTGAGAACACAACACAGCAATAAAAGGCAGTGTGTGGTAGAAAGAAGATGGAATATAAAGGTAGAAGAAAGGCAACGTGTTCCCTTGACTGGAGTGAACAAGGCGGCCACAGAGGAGTTAGTTCACTTACAGGGACAGAAAGGCAACATGAGCTCTGGGCTGGGATTTAGGGCCAGAAGGCAACATGCAGCCAAGACCTAGTGTATCGTCCAGTCTGGCCATCAGACACCTCTCAAGCCGGAGCACAGGCTCCCTTTGGTCTGTACATTAAGGGGTTGAATGTGCTTGGCCGGCAACAGGAAGGGTGGTCATGTGATCCCAGCAGGCTCTAGGAAGACCAATCTGGGGCTTCTACGGGCTTCTTCTGTGCTTGCTACGGAAGAATACTTGCCAAGGGGCAGATAAGTTTCCCTTTGAACCTGTTTGGATAGTGTTAAAAAGCTCTAGGCTCTCTAGATCATTCTACCAAAGCAGGCCTAGGTTAAGGATAACAAGCAAAATTTGTGGCGAAATACTTCATGCTCACTGTGACTAGCATTTGGCTTCACGTCAGACTTGGGACATAGTTCTAAGGTGCTCTATGTACATTTGGTTCTCTGTGGCCCTTTTATGATCAGCATACAGTACACTGTGACTATTACACGGGGCACTGCACAATTAAGTCCAAATGACTACAGAGCGGTCTGGCTCTAGCTTTGTTTTGAGATACTGCTAAACTATGATTTGGTGACACAGATTTCCATCAGGTATGTTGATCTCCCTATAAAAACACAACCTTCTCTCCCTGTGTATCACCTGCTATTATGCTTCCAAGTCTCATGTTTATGATACAGGTATGAGAAGTCACAGTGACAGAGGAGCAGCAAGTGAATCGACACTTGGGAGAGAATGAACAACTAATTTTAAGAATATCTCTAGGAAGAATCTCAATAATGTTGGAGAAGAAAATAACTATAGGAATGACTTTTGACTCGTGCCTTTTTTTTTTAAAAGAGTTGTTAGAAAAAAAAAAAAGTTTCTAAAATTAAAGTCAGAACTACTCCCACCTTTAGAACAGTAGTTCTTAGAGAAGGAACATCTAACACCAGTGGGAACGTGATGAAAGCTATCATGCCTTCTCCAGGGAGGGAGTGGGGAGAGAAGGGGAGGTCATAAGCGGAAACCTTTCATAGATTTTTAAATCTCTAAACTTGCAGGAGGTTCAAAGTTAGAATCTGTTTTAGATTGAAAATCTGTAAGGTTCGTATGGGAGGAGGGGCAAGAATGGCCAGAAGAGTTATGAGAAACAAGGATGATGTACATATTAGCCCCATAAGAGGTATTTTGAAGCCACAATAATTGAAACAGTGTGGTATTGGTACAAAAAGACAGACTGTTGGAACAGAATTTTTAAAATCTAGAAATAAAATCTAATACATGGGGTATTTCATATATAATAAAGGAAGCATTTCAAAATAATAGAGACAAAAAGTTTAGACATGTAGATGAGTTATCTACATTTAAAAAATAAATAAGGCGACTCCTTGTCTTGTGCCAAACTAAGATCTAGATGGATGAATGAAAGACCCTGAGAGTCCGGGGGAAACATGGAATTTATGCACACAAATGTACAGTAGGCAGTCCTTTCTAAATAACATAAAACCTAAAAGTCAAACATTTGATACAGAAAAATAAAAATATCTACATGGTAAAAACACCACAAAGAAGGCAGAAGAAAACACTAGGAAAACATTCGCAACATGAGGCAAAGTACTTATTTTATTAATGAAGAATGAACTCCTACAAATCAGAAAGACTAGCACCCCAACAGAAGAAGGGACAAAATAATACCTGAACAGTGGCTCAGATGCAGAACACATTCAACCTTACCTTAAGGTATGAGCATATTATAATTTCACTGTATCATTCTTACCTATCAGATCGGCAGAGATCAAGAAGCAGACACCTGTTAGCACACTGCCCATGGGTTCTCTCTGAAGAACAGTGTGGGACTCTCAATGTTAAGTGAATGTGCTCTTTATAAATCAATTCTACTTTTGGGAAGTCTACTTTTCTACTTTCGATTTTATCCTGTGGGTATACTTGCAAGTCTGCACAAGGGTATTTACTGGAGAATAATTTGTAAAGCTACAGAGTCATCAATAGAAGGTGAAATGACTTAATGCATGTGTACAACAGTATACAATTGCATGCAGTTGTCCCAAAGAATGGACGCAGCTCTCTATCTGTAAGAATGTGAAATGCTAGTCGAGATTTATTCACAGAAAACCAACTGTGCGTGTGTAAAAGCACAAGCCCACGCTTGCACATTTATACAGATCTCTGGAAGGAAACACAAGTACTTCAGCCTATACCAAACACCCCCTTCTAGACCGGGAGATGGGACAAAGGAAACTTATTTTATCCTTTTTGAATTGAGAACCTACACATGTATTAATTGAAAATAGTTAAAATCTTAGGAGCCGTATCTGAAAATCTTTCCCCCATGAGCCTTCTAACTCATCTGCTACCTTATTTAGTTCTTCCAATGCCTTTCCTATCACTCCCCACCATCTCTTTGTCCCCAAATCAAATAACACATAGAAGCTTCCCCTCCAGGCCTTAAATGTGGATCTCTAGGGGGTAGGCAGGGGAGGAGGGACTGTTTTTCCCCTAGAATAGCTTTTAGTCGAGTTTCTACTTCTCTGTTTAATAGAAGATGTCCATTGTTTGTCAAAAATCCTCCAGACTTTCAAAATAATGGATAAGCCATCTCATCTAGACCCTTTCAATGTTTGTTATCCCGAAGTGGTTTTTTGTAGTTTTATAAGAATTGCTATTTCTCATTTCAGACATATGATAGTGACCCTCATGATGCTGTTATGTTATCAGTTGCAGTTGCAAGAACCTTAATAAATGCAGTCAACACTTTACCAAGAATCTAAGATGTCTGTGTTTGGCATCTTGTGTGCTAACTTCTTCTGACATACATGTGCACGATGGAGTTAACTTTTAGAAAAAAGTAGTTCATATAAAAGCATGGTGTGGAACATGACAAATGACCAATCCATGGTGTAGTTCTTAATTCTTCCAGTTTATCATGACTTAGATACGGAAGAGCTCAAGCTACTGAAGGCTCAAATTTAGGCGGGGTTCATATTCAGTGCTTAGCCCATTAGAAGAGCCCAAAATAAGTTTCGGATGACAATTACAAAGGAATTCTTTGTTTTCTCTCGCCTAAACAATTTCTAATATCAAAAGTATATTTTTTTTAGTGACCCCAACAAACACTGGTATTACTAGAATAAATCCAAGTCATAGGCCCTGAGGGCTTAGATAACACACCAGAGCTTAGTGTAACAGTTTGAGTTTTAATTAACCGCTTGAGATCAACATTGATATAATCTGCATATAAAAGAATCATGTGAAACGCATTCTCATCTCATGAAAGGGACAGGTTAAAGGCAAATTCTAGTTAGCAGAATTAACAAAATGATGACTAGAAAACAAAATTAATATGAAGCCTGGTAAGTTCAAACTAGTGTTTGATTTTCCTTTTACTGAGAAGGAAGATTCACTGAGCAGACTCGTTGTATTTTGCACAGCAGAAGCTGGGCAAGGTGGGAGCCAGGATTACT